TATAGTTTACGGGATATCTGCCACAGCACTTCCACTATTTCCCTCGCGGCCGATCGTATGGCGCCGTTTGTTGTCTTTGAGAGAGCCATAGCAGAGCAACTTATTAAATTAATGGTTCATTCACCCCATATCATGACATAGTCATTAGAATATGATCAGAACGACACTTCGAAGCTTCTATCGTGCAAACGTTTTGCCCAGACAATTTTCTGTGTCATCTAAGACTGTTCCATTTCTGGTTCTTATTTAAATATGGAAATTTTAAGACGAATAAAATCAGATTCTACGTTTTCATCCGATCTGAATCTCTCATCCACTTCGATTGTGTTATCTCAGTCGAGTGCAGCAACTACGATGAACTCAACCTGCTCATATGCGCAGTGTATATCCTTGTTATCGCCCCCTCCCCACGGCACATTCGTACCTTTCAAAATGCACGGACTAAAAAATTAGTGCTCCGGAGAGATAGCAGGACAATTGGTTAAATGGTGATTCATTCGCATCTTGTCACGGTACGGTCATCAGATTATAGTCGCAGAACTACTTCGAAGTTTCCTGAAAGTCAGACCCATTTGTGCTTCAACCGATGCACAAAGAAGTCCGTCTGGATTTTCTTACCCACTAAAGCGATCGTTGATTGCCGCTGCTCCTCTTCCCTGAGAGAAAACCATAATATAGAGGCAGGAGGGCAAAGAGTATCTTTGTTGCTAAGATAGAGCGTACCTGATTGCCAGTCTGAAGCAGCTAACTTCTTAAGTTCATCTGATGTCATAGGCTAGAGTTTCCCACATACAAATCTCCGTTAACATGAAGAGGAGAGCCTACAATATGAGGCGGGCAGATATCTGCATGGGGCTCGTATGCGACGGTTAGTCTTTCCCTTTCGGTATGTCCAGATTTTGTTTTCCTTTTCGGTTGGCAAACGCCGTGAGGCAACTATGCGAAACCTGTCTTCATTATCAGTATATTAGAGGGAGAAGTAGGTGGGTCGTCTTTGAGTTCACTTTTTGGACGTGTGTGTTGTGGTATCAGAAAAATGGTATCTCAGTTTGCTGGCGAGGTCAATTGACATGAGCCATGAGGTGGAAAGTAGATAAAGAAGAGCGGACTGTGAATGAACCTCTTCGGGATTTTTTTGGAGAAAAAAACTGTCGAG